CGGTGTTCTAATTTCCACAGCTTTCTTTTAAAGTTTTAAAAGTATTCTGGTCCCTATTAGCGTTATAAGCCACATGGCCAATAATTGGAACAGTGCAGTCAAATCAATATATCAGGTTGTGGTGTGGATCAGAAAGCGCAATCTTAATATTATTTGTGGTAAAATAAGTTTCCCGTGGTAAACAATGGATAAGATATTCAGTCCGTATCCAGGTTTGTTGATCAAAGTATCTACTTTGATACATCACTGCAGCGTTTAAAGAATGAATAATACTCAATGTAACTCTATGATCACTCATAAAAAACTCATGACTGATATACACTGGGATAGAGTCTATGTTGATTGCAAACAATAAATCAAGTATATTATTAGTCGATTTTGGGACCTGTTGGACCCTTCCACAAAGTTCTAGTGTTTCAACTAACTTGTATTGTCGACCTGGTACCGGAGTGGAACCCCAAATTCAAATCACCTTCGATTATTTTAAACGTATGCGGTCGGTTTGAAGAAATGTAAAATATGTTCGTTAGTAATCCGTCAAACATAGTACCCACATGAGGTGGTCTGTATATGCATCCCACCAGTAGGTAATTTTGGGGTCCACAATTTACAGTAACCCAAGTGGAGTCGTCTATAGCATCAAGAGATTTATTCTCAACTTTGCACGCCTGAATGTCCGAACGGACATAGATAATTGTACCACTTCCTAATCCATAATATCTATCGGTTCTAAAGAAAACGTAGTTATCTACATGCAAGGGGTGATCGTATTTAGATGAATTGCACCAAGTTTCCGTAGTATGATGGTTAAATTTACAAGGAATAAAAGGGTTTAAAGATGAGTAATTTTATTGAACAGAGAGCGGGCACTGAACGAAAGAATAAGAAATTGGGAGTTATCATAACGAAGCAGGTTACAGTATAAACCACAATTGGTAGCCCCACGAATAATCGCAGGATTTGCTGAGGCAACGGTTATGTTGCGAGGGGAAATAGATGCAACAACTCTTTCATCTATTGAAATATGTTTACCGTTGCCGACAGAAGAGCCGTCGTAATTACAAAAAAAGTCTTCTCATTGATACTGGATTTAACATCTGATAAAGACATAGTATACATATTGGGAGCTAGACTAAGAAGGCTAACAGGTCTATGTTTGAGACTAAGTGGTCATTTACAATTCGGATCACCATTTGTACCTCACATATGGATAACATGTTACGTACGTTTATTCCCGGGGTTTGTGGTCAACTTTCGCTCCTTCGCAATTTGAAGGGAATCGTGTGTTTCTAAACAAACTTGCGATGTTTTTCAAGGTTCAAATATATCGACGTTAAGTGTGTGGTCAGTTATATAATTGTTAAGACTAGTTTTCTTGTTAGCCTTTTCACATTTACAGTAATTGGTTGTCGCACTAACAGAGATTTGAACTGCATTATTCCATTCATCATCAGCACAATACTTAGGGTTGAATCCAAGTCGACACTCTTAAGAGGATGGACACCACCTACGTAGGGATTACTTTCTTCTGGGTCTTGACCTCTAGGAGATTCAGAGGAGTTTTCCGTTGATGGCATATTTGTGAAGCTAGATGTCCTCTTAGAATCATACTTAATTTTACGACTATTGGGATTATGATGCGTTTGGGAATTTCACGCTGGTGGTCTGTCGCTAACTCTTCCTGCTTTTAGCTGGCATGGTGTTCTATCTGATGGAATCTTAATATCCTTGTAAATCTATTTCTGTTTTTGAAGGAATTGGAGAAGGTGAAAACAACTCACTAGCGTCTACAGATGAATTGAATTTGAACAAGATCGGTGAATGCATGCAAGGGTGTATTTTTTTAATCTTGTGTATACACATGGTACGTGTCTCATATTGTTAGCTCTAAGCAGACTAGAATTGACATTTTTAAGGGCATATATGTCCGGTATATTAAACACAATCACATTGCTAGTTCGTCCTATTCTTTCAAATACCTCTGATGAAACACTATCTAGGAAGTCATTTATCTCATTCATTTGATCCAGAGTCTCTGTGAAGTTGATGTTGATGAGATACTTAAGCGGACTGTGAATGTTCATCTCAACTTGCAACTTTTTATGTCATCCATATGGTTGCAGTTGTGATTATTGTCATTGTTTACCAATAAAGTCTACAACATGTCTGAAATGGAGACAACTGGTATAAGCTTGTCTGCTTCCGAGGGAATGAAGTAGCTATTCTCTCTGAAACTGTAAGAAATAGTGTCAGTAGTAGTGTTAGGTTGTGTCTTTTACCTATGTTTAGCTGAACGTCTAGAAGCAGGGGCCTTCATTTTCGTTTGTGGCATGATAAGAAAGTGACGTATAGCAGATTGATTGAACAAAATGTTGGAAATAGAAATGGGTAAAAAAATTAATGCCAAGGACACAAGCCCAGAAATCAAACCTATGTTTAATGCAAAAGTGAACTTGTCATGAGAATTGGTGAAGATGTCAAAAACAATAAATGTGAATGGCAGGAAGATAGTAGTTGATATATAGTATGTATGTCAGTACATATGTGGAGGCAAGGAGAACGTTGTATTAATCTACATATATATATTACACGGAAAGATAGCTTTGTATAATAAATTCATTAAAAAATGTCGATAATTAGTATCAAACAACCAAAGTGGGTATAGTATAAACTGAAAACCAGCATTGATAAAAATTGAGAGGTGCAGAGATAAGTGGTTTAGAAGATTATTACCGTCTAAGATTACTGTGTCACTTTAACACCAAATATATGGAACAGCTTTTTGAATGAAAATACTATCAAAGAACTATAACAGAATAATCAAATTGGTCAGGTAATTCCGAAAACTAAATGAATTATAGTATCCAAATACGATTTAAATGATAGTTTATAACATAGTACAGTGCTGTATCGTACACAATTACATGTATCTCTTGATATTAGGCAGAGGTGTGAATAGATCCTGTAAATACATAAAGTACGATATAAGTAATAGAATATAAATACGACATGCAATTCTTCTTCGAATGTGATTATATATGGTTTTCAAAATGACAGAGCATGGTTTGATCGTATAGCCAAAGTGAAAACTGACATTGGATACACTGCAGCTCAACTCGTTTATGGAACGATACTCCGACTTCCAGGAGAATTCGTCGATCCTTCATCTTCTTCAATGAATATGGATCTAAACTCTTACGCGACAAGGCTTATAGACGCAGTGTCTTCAGTTAAACCTGTTTCCACTGAACCGCAATCAATTTGTGTTTTCGTTCAACCTGACTTACGATACAGTACGCACGTCTTTGTGCATCATGACTCACTTCAACGACCTCTCAAAACCGAATACCAAAAACCCTTTAAAGTTCTCCACCGTGTACCTAAGTACTATATAATCCATAGGGACGAAACTAACGATAGTATTAGCATCGATCTCCTTAAAGTCGCGTACTTAGGAGGAAATCCTGCTCATGTTGATTTTCCTTCAGCATAATCGAAAGACATCAGTCCTACAATCACGATACTTCACCTGATAACCAACAATCACGATGACACTTCTGTAGTATCTGACAACCGACTGAAAACAATGCGTTCTGGAAGGGCAAGGTTTACAGAACACCTAAACGATTATTGAACTTAAGACAATAATTAACATTTTGTATCGTCTCGATTTCTTTTTGTATAAAATATAAATAGCAACCGGTTATGTCCATATCTATATTTTAATTCCGAAGAAACCTTTTGTTGCTGCAAATAAGTTTTCTTATTTGTGCATATCTTCACTTTTTAAAAAACCGATACTTCTTGCTGGTTGAAAGCTATATTCGGATCACAACGACTTGAACAGGAGAGAAAAGGCGCAAAATATGCGAAAAGCACTTTACTCCAATGTTCATTTATGTACAGAAAATATAGAATTTTTATAGTATTTTAGAAGTCCTTGAGTTTTACTGAAAATTCTAGAATGCTACTAAACATAGTAGCAGTGTATTAATCAGCCAATCAGAATCTCTACATGTGATTTCATTTTCGCTTTGTTTCTAACAAAACTTCTAATCAAACGCTGATTAGTTGAAATGCTTCTTAATGTTTCCTGAGCTTGTCATGTCGATTGCGAGAAATTTGCAGGAACATCCCAACAGAAACCAATAAAATAATTCTGCAGAAATCGCTTATATGCTATTGCATGTTTACAAAACGCACGTGTTTAAGCCTATTTTGCTTTTTTCGCCCGTTTTGTGTTTTGACGCACGTACAAGAGTAATTAAATATGCACCCACATATCCTGTTTTTGGTTTCTAGGATGGCCATAAAAGGTGAGAAAATACGAAGTTTACGATGAATCCAAATTTTCGCTGCATCTGTTTTTTCCAACAGAAGCGAGCACAATCCCATCAGAGTATAGGTTTTAGGGAGACTTGTTTGATAATTTGAAGTATTTGAATTATAGTATAAACTAGTAATCCCAGCAACAACACAATTTAATCAAGAAGTATTAGATGAGCATAAACGAATGTACTGTATTTGGAATGCAAAGTCAAAACAGTCAACAATGCAAAGAAATCATTGGTTCATATAAGCACCACAACTTGATAGACATGTTCTCATTCATGGGTTGCTATATCCCACTTGGACTAACTGCGTCTGGCGAATGTTCCATAAATTACCACCGCCAACATTAGTGCATATCAGTAACCACTTCCTATGTCTCTTATTGTAATTTCCATTTCCCTTCTTATTCTTTCAACCACATCATACACATAATGAATTAATTAACTTTCTTATTTCTGAAACAACCGTCTTCTCTTAGAACTCGAATTTTAACTTTGACATTTTTTGTATTGCAACCATCCGACCTTCCGCTTGTTAATTTGGTAGCTAATTTTATTCAGGATCCCTAGTGTCCTGACACAAACGTATTCACTCAAACTACAAGATACACAAATCTACAAATAACTACCTATTTGACAAGAACTAATATAGTCGAGTCGTTAGACTATCATTCATCGGACATTAACAAATACCTAAAACTGTACCGAAATAACATAAGCTATTTCGCAGAAATCAATCTGTTTACGCAATCTCATAAAAGAGATATTGGATATCGTACCCTTCAAGGCCTTGGGCAATATTTAAGGTCATATACATGGTTTTCTGTTTCTGCAATCTAAAGAATAGGTAGTAGCCCAAACCACTGTTAATGTGTGGTATAGAAGTATTAGAAGAGGTGAAAAAGTTAGCTGGAGACGATTCTAAGTACGTTGCCTTAATAAATGTAGGTTTCTGGGTTCTTCTTTTATCAACCAATTGCCTTCATTTTAGGACAAAACTACACTACAAGGACTTGTCTTACTACTTTCGAACAAAAATAACACAGTTATTTCATCAGTGTTGGAAGTATGTTTAAAACTTCGAAATTCAAATTTTAGACGTTAAAAATTATATCTGGCCGGCCAGGTGGCAACGATGCTTTGCAATCATTATTGGGATTAAATGAACAGCTAAATGAACTAATAAAATCCACTAAATCTGGTGGTAGCGTAGCTGCTCAGTCCATTTCCAGGAGCGCTGAGGAACTTTTAGCTTTGCTTAATAGCTCCAATAGACAAGGTCCTCCCAGACCCATAAAAACCAATCTAGAAAAATCACACCGTACGCTTAGACCAAAGAATGTAGTTTTACAACTCAGAGGAATAACAGACGAGGTAACTTTCCATGAATACGTAACCTCAGGTCCTTCACTCACCATATTTGTATGCTAGGTCTTTCTAATTTATCGCTATCGTCTAGATATAAACAGAGCATAACAGTTAAACGCTTATAAGTACACAGTATTGGTGTGCAGGACTCCTGTACCATATGCCCTTCGTGAATAGATTGTGTTCTTAAAATAACTCCCCAAATGATATTTATTTATTTAACTTTAAGTAGGGTCGTAAATTCTTGTATTTTCTGAGTAGCTTTTCGTTGCAAACTGTCTCATTAAAGTCAGTTGAAAGGCTTCTGTTGATAAGTATACTACCTAGTATTTTCAGACTTCAAAAGGGAATAAATTCCGAATTATAGGCTTCTGTTTGCCCCGGTGTGTGTCTGAGTAGCTCCGAAATGCATTAAAAAAGCGTTAGCATAACTCAGTAATTGGCCATATCCTTCTGTATTTTGCACTGGGACACAATTATGTGAAATTAGTTGCCTGTTGTGCCACTGTAATTCAAACCCCTTATCCAATACCTAGAAGACGGATATTTGCGTTATTTGATCACGGCCTCAAGCATTGGAAAGAGACAATGTAACGGAATTCGAAGAATGTCATTCAGTAGTTTTACTGGTTTTATGTTCATAGAAGCACATAGTTGTTGGTTAGAACCAACAAGCTAATTATAATCAATAGCACAAATCCATGTTTGTCCCAAAATCAATCGAAATTGCATAAGGGATTCGTTTTTCATAGGCTTGGTCTTGGTAACAAGTGATTGCTATTTCCGCTCTTTCAGCGTTTCTCTAAATTTTGTTCCCTATAGCTCATATAGTCCTACATTTAAATGCTTCATCTCTTTAGCACCTTTGTCCAGTATGATTTTTTCAACTTTGTTTGTATTTGTTCGCCATCACAATCAGAAAAAATGTGAAACAGATGAATGGAATGTTATGAGATAATTATCATGAGTTAGTCTTAACAAGCAGACTTGACTTAAAACCCTTAGTAGGTAAATATTGTTACTATGCCTTAGAAGAACAGACTTATGTGTCCACATATGTTCTTGAAAATTAGGGTGTATATATATGTACAATTTAGAGCAGAGTAAACTAACAAATTGTTTTGTTTTAGATATCTCAATAAAAGAGCATCTAAACGAGATGTCGACCTGAAATTCAAGGCCTTAAAAGCTATATAGATTCTCTGCATATTTCAGTCATATGTCAAGTTTTTTTGCTAACCACATTTTGTAGTTTTGTCTAGTTATCCTTATTTAAAAAATACTGCAAGAAATCAAAGTGGATCATTGTTTTTCATACACTTTTTAATCTCAGATGGTTATACTTGGAGAGTAAGAGTTTCGTTAATAAACTGAAGTGCACGTTTTATGCCTGTTCTGTTTAGATTTCTTACGTGATCCTTAAATCTTATTTAATAGGATGATATTGAAATAGTATGTGCAAAGCTCTTGAAAATTCGCGGCGTAGTCAGTATAACATTCCAGTTGCAAAAACATCGTGTTATTGTTTGCACGGTACCTTCGTTAGATCCTGAATGCCTTATACATGCAGTATCTTCAGTTAAAGACAACTCAGGTCGGTCAAATGACACGTGTCAAACAGATTTGACCTGTCCTACAATCACAGCCCAGATTGTCAAGAAAAAACACAGAGCGTAAGTGAAATTTTTATCCAAACTTTTACAAACACATTTTAATATCCATTACGTTTACGAAACGAAATGTGTTATCGTATGCAGATTAATAATGTAACCTAGCTGCACAAACCACAAGTAAATTTTCACCTAATCCTATTAAATGTCATACTACTAGCTGTAAGCTATCTCCAGAAAAATAAAGTCATAATAGGTCCTCCATTTATAACTGATGTACCCATTTTAAACGTTATATATAAGTCTTGTTGCCAATAGCATGGATTTTCCTTTGTTTTGATATGCAACTACGAACATTTGATCATTAAGTTTCATAATCGCATCAGCACCATCTTTATAAGTGACCATACGTCAATGTACTTCTGTTGATTACATCATGTATATTTAGTTATAAGCTACGTTGATAACCAGTATAAACAATAACAAAGCGAAATATCTGTGTTGCATTTCATCTATCATGTATTAAGATGTGGAAAAGTTCAGCTATTTGAGCAATATAGTAAACCAGTTTTAGCGTCAACTTTTTGAATTCATCTTAGTTATTTACTTGAAATCATGCACCTATCTTAGATCCCCATCGAAAATCTGGAGGCACTAAACGGCCGTTCCGTCTTAATATAGTATTCCTAAGCACTGCCCATCCACCATCCCGCACGCGAGACTCAAAATCAAGACCTTCGGTCTCACGAATGCGTATCTCTAAACCGTTGAGTCGACATCCGACGATGTTAATTTCGAACTTCTACCAATCATTTCGATATCCTTCAGTTTATACAGGTTACAGAAAGAGTAACCCTTTAATAACTGTATATTGACTTAATGTAAATAAAATATTTATCCCTCAATTCAGTATATCGTTGATCAATAAGTAACTTTCTGAAGACTTATCTTTTTGTACGTTGACCCACCATTCTTAAATAATATGTTAAAGCCCATAGAAACGAATTAGTTATCTTCACGAATAGTTACTAAAGCATAGAAACCTCAGTGGTCTAGCTCCTTCCAGAAGTAATCTAAAAGCAACTCCATCTATTTTAAAGGTTTGTCCGATAACGAACGCCTACATTACTACTAAAGATTTTTGTTAACATTTTCACTGATAAATATTTTGTAAAGCGGTAACAAAATTAAAGGATAAAATGAATTCATTTCATGTATTTTAAATTTTTCACACACAAAATTGTAAATATGATTCTACATATACCATACATAAAGTAATCCAGTTTACCAGTAAGAAGTAATTATAAATACTTCACATTATGATACAAATTCAATTTATAGAGGAACAAAATAGTTTGTGAGAGATATCGTTTTGTGTATTTAATTTATCTAAGATTTGGTTCAACTGGGTACAAAAATATGTGTGCGCTGGGATACTTCTCGAATGCCTAAACGAAAGCATATAGTTCTCTAAGAGAGTCACTCTCTAAGCCTTTTACCCAGAAGTGTAATCTACAACAAGGCAGTGAAGCAAGGTCAAGAGATCTTGTACCATGTTAGCCAGTAAAAATAAATTAAGTTTATTTTCGGAATCCTGGGGCACATATGCAGCATTGTTTTGAAATCAATTTTTATTTACTTCTTTATGTGCATTCTTTGCATCCACCATCCCTGTTCAAACACCAAATACTATCGCAAATAACACCACTGCCAAGAGAAAGTAGTGAGTAGGATCACCTTGGTTTCTGCTGCAAATGTACGGTTGTATGAGAGCATTTCGAGAGAGGGCGGACTCTTCTCTTTTACCATGGCATTCGTAGAGAGGAGATATCAAAGTGTAGAATACCTTTGTGGTCCATGGATCTGAGTCCAATTTGATCGAACGATGATGCCAACAAAATATACATGCCACCAACTCTCGTATATATTTATCGACTTAATTTGTGTTAGTTAATAACAGAATAAAATAAGTCATACAATAATGAATTCTGGATATGTATATTTCATACACCCGTCGATCCAGACAGACAGTCAGGGACACGAAGCGGACAGGAAAAGGCAAATGTGTCAACTACATTTAAAGAAACGTGACTCAATGTTTGTGGTCAAACAAAAGTAAGCTAGACATTTGATGACTGGGGTAAGCGTATGCTTGTATAAAAACAGTGAAGGTTAGTAAGCGGATAGCTGACAAGGTCAAAATGAATAACTAAATTGGTCTGTCTGAAAGCTAGGATCACTCATGTGATCTTGACATAGTACTAGACGCTACAATACATATAATTCCATGCTAACTTTAATATATATTTTAATTAGTGCTCGTATGCAGATGATTTTTCCTTAGAATACGCCTAAAAGACCTTTTTAACTACGTTTTTATCTTCCATTTTCCATAGAAGTCAGTGTTTGATTTTATGTTATATTTATTGATTCTAGACAATCCTTATGCAGACACAGTTCATTCAGCGGTTTAAAATATAGACAAAACTTGCAAAATACTGAAATCCCACCTTATTTAGAAGATGATGCTGATCTCTTCGAGGTTGATGAAACAAGAGCTGCTCCAAAATTAATGGATGCTCCAAGCAAATCAGATTCTTCTAAAGGTCCTATTAGTTGGCTATCAGATTTCCTGGAAAAATCACTATTTTGGTGAATTTAGTACAATATTTCCTGTTTCATAGGTTTTACATTTATGCCAGCTACTGTATTTAGAAATAGAAATACAAACTTTGTATAACATATTTTCTGTAATAGATCTACAATATGTCAATTGTCGTTTGATTTCATGGATTACTGAGACTTTCTGTGCCAAGATCCCAACTCAACTCTTCATTACCATAATCTGCGACAATAATAAATGACTGGATACTTACATCTGATTTAGATTACTATGAGCATTTTTACAACTCACCAACTACAGATTTGTGTACTTGGCTTTGAGCTACACTTTTAGTATTGAGGGTTGGGACTAGTAGTACCACCCGGTTGCCTAAACCAGAGTAAATGGAATAGGGTTTGAACCCATGACTCTTAAAATTCGAACTCTTTAACTACTGATTATACTTCCTAAGAATACGTGGATTGATTCATAGCTCTTTTAGTCTCATATTTACTAAAAGTTGCAAGTTATAACTCTTTTATATCCCATATATCAAATTAAAAGCCAAAGAGCAATTAAATTGACTTACTGTGTTAGTGACTGCTGATTTAAGATCCTTAACTTAGGTTACCTGGTTAGCCAGATTCTAGCGGAGAAAGAACCACTGGAAGTGGATAGGCCACACATTAAGGAAAGCACCCAACTGCGTCACAAGGCAAGCCCTCGCTTGGAATCGTCAAAGCCAACGAAGAGGAAGACCCAACAACACATTACGCCGAGAAATGGAAACAGATATGAGAATGAACGAGAAAAGAAGGTCTAGGACAGAGTGGGTTGGAGGTCGGCAGCCTGTGCTCCATTGGGGATAACAGGCGTAGGTAAAGTATAACAAGTTAGTAACTTAGGTTACCGGAATTGTGGAATACAGTATTTGGTAACTTGGAACGATAAGCGGTCTAAGTTGTATGTATACAAAAGCCATAAGCAGAGAACATCTTACAATTATTGACCATCAATCCCTTCATAGCATGTTCATGATGAGTAATGCTGGGATCAGACATTATTTTAGGTAGGAATAGTAAATCGACTTGGGTGGTCGAGGCATATGTTGCGAGTGCACAGCTACTCTAACGTGTTCCGTTGGCGAACGTAAGGGTAGATTGTAAGATAGATGACCAAGGGTGGCCGAATCGTAACACAAATATGTTCTTTAAATTATGGACTTCCAGTATAAGCAGTGCCAAGAAGCACAGATTTTCTGATTGGATTACACGGGCTATTCGTCAACCTGCGGCTTGTGATTTGAAATCACATAGCTAGAACTCAGTGTTAGTGAGCTACAAGCATTCATCTTATTGATTTTCTTTTGCACATCGCAATCGTCCATTCTAAATTATGTTTAGTTTTGCAATGCTTTCAACAGCACTCCAGATAATTCCTTAGCTATACTTGATATTCATCTTGATATCCTGTGCTGGTACGAGGTATGTCACTAATTTCCACGTTACTAACAGCTGACCATATGAAATGTATGAACAGAATGGTTTTCCTGAACTTAGTACCCAGATGATAAAAAATGAAATGAATTTTAAAGTTAACAATTTATTAGGCAAAGAAAGAAAAACTTCACTATGTATACTGATAAAAACTCGATTAATAATGAACTACAGAGGTCATAGATCCGAACGAACTTTAAATCCAGGACCTTTAGGTTCTGTATTCAGTGATGTCAAACCACCTTTTGGTTCGGATGCAAAACGTCCACCTTGTCCGCTTCTAAAATGCATATAAGTAAGAGAAAACTCAAGTATCTATTTAGTTATAAATTTAAGCTTGATAGTCAAACCGTTTATTTCAGGCTAATCTGCGAGTATTAAAATTATCATACACTTTAAGACTCTAGCTTCAATATAAACCTGTCATGTATAGAAATGGACGTATATCGACGCATTCCAAAAAGGATCAATTAGATTTCATTTTAATGTCGACTACTTCCCAATTAGACGATCAATAAGGAAAGAACAGTAATTTGATGTATACAGAAACCAACTTCACTAGCACTTTGAAACGAATATAGGGTTGAATAATAAGTTATTTTTACACAGATTTTAAGTCCTGAAATCAAAATAGCAAGACAGGTATGATTTAGATTTTTTAGAGTGTTGAGTAATTTTCGAAGATATTTCAGCACCTTCATAATTGTACGCAAGCGATTAAGGAATATCTCGATGTTACGAAAGGGTTCTTATTGGTTGATGTACTCTAGTTCCCAATCGGTCGGTAAATTAATTCAGGTACCAAATTCATAAATTTATTTAAATCAATAAAACTACCTGGATCATCTGTTAAATTGTTTCTAGTCGACAAATATTTCTTGTTGATTGGCCTCAATCAGTTGAGAAGTGTGAGTAAAGACTTAATTGAGCTGCGTTGTACGTTACGAACAACGTATTTGAAGTTAATACTGTTCAGGATACCTTATCATAATCAGATGACAAATCCTCGTGTATCTTTGGATTAGGGATAAAAAATCATATTGCGGATAATATTTTATGAATTACACACACTAGAGCAATAAAATACGATCGGGAACTCAGCAATAGTCAAGCGATATATATGTCGTGTAAGTCGTCAGTAAGACTTACCTACAGACTCACTTCAGGAAGGTTCGTGATTTATCTGACGTTTACTGGAACAAACGTTACCTCACAGATTTATAGCCTTGAATAAGGTCAAGAAAATCGTCTTATTCGACTAAGCTAACACACCACTTGTCTCTATTTCACGTTATGAGCTAACCAGATGAGTAGGTGAAAAGTGCGATTTCCTCATTACTTCTGTGGCTTTAGTTTTCGAAACTGAGGAAATCAATAAAGGATTAAAAATCTAACACGACTTTGGTAATGTGACGTATATGAGAGAAGTCAGTAATTCTCAGAAAGAGAAGCAAAGTAGTGACTAAGTAATAAACGCCCGTAAGATATAATTTAAAACTTACTGTGGACCAGGTTTTGGCTTCTTCCCGGCTTTTATTTCTTCAAGAATACGAATCGTATCCTCTGCTGTTAAATCCTCCTACAAGATAATGTATAAAAGAGAGTGGGTTGCAATCAGAAGTCCATCTTAAGTAAATTTGAAACCATACAAAAAAAGGGTTATCTCATAAATTAGTAGACTGGCTTTGTCAATGAATAGCAAATGTTCAGACCTTTATGAGACCACTGGTGTTCTCAAAGTCTTGCTAATGGTTTGACAAGCACCAAACCAAGATTAATATTTCCTCAAAAGTACCTTGAACAATTGAAAATCAAATTTTATGTATGAATAGAACTCTCAATTGTTGTCAACCATGTGAACTTATGGTTTTGTGTTAATAAAGGAATTTTTAACAGTGAAATCAGCACAACATTGTGTCTACTACTAGTTTCATTTTTAGTCGGCTTCTTTCCCTCTGGAGTTGTGAAATATGGTATCTTAAAGAAATGCAATATTATGCTAGGTTAAGCCGACGATATTTTTCATACACTTAATACATTGAATTGATTGCATTTTACCAGCACTGTGAACTCCTGAAGTCAATATCCTAAGATAATTGTCAGTGAATGCTACTAATGAAAGCTAGGGATGGAATGGCGTGACGCTTATTTGCAAAACAACACTTTAGCAACTGCAGCAACGGTAAAAAATCTTCAACTTGAGTTTTTTTGAAGTGAGAGGAAGAAGTAATAATTGACACTTTCTGAATGATGATAGAATCTCCCGGCATCTTAATAACGATATGGGATTCGCTAGCGAACATACCCTTACAACATAAACTAATGACTCGTAATTAGTCGGGGCTCACGTACTGATTGGTAGTTTTTCATAAACCAAACGACGTTAGCTAAGGACTGAAGTTCCGTTCTTAACTAATTTAACCCAAGCAACTGAATCATTAAACTATCCAACATTGTTAAGTTATCTACACAAAATGACAATATACAAAGTTACAAAAGTTTACATGATCCACCATTTAGAGTGAAAACAACACAACTCTACACAAAAAAAATGATACGTTTTCATCATAGTTTCACTTAGAAACCAAAAAGCTTAGACCAAAAAGTAATTTGCTCGACACAACTAGTGTTAACTATAATTTATTGACATTAGTTATTCAAGTTCATATATTCCAGAGGTTAACGATTCAGTATTTTTGACTCAACTGACGCTACAAAAATTTAACTCGGTTATGTAAAAACTGGGTTTTTAGAGGAAGCTATGGCGAAATCTCGCAGATGAATTATACCTAAGTATTTCTTTTCTTAGCAATAGCTTTAAATGTTGCAAACATCTGCCTTGAAAAAAGACCTCAAAAACCTACATAATAATCGTCATTAATTTGCATCATAGGCGCATTTACACAAGCTCCAAGGCATTCCACTTCTGTCAGTGTAAACATTTTATCAGGTGTAGTCTGACCCGGTTCAATACCTATAAAACCGAGAAAAGAAATATTAGCTTAGGTGTAAAAGTAAAAATCACTATAATTTAAAAGCGACCCGGTTTTCCTTTTCGAAAACCAACTTGCTTATTATAGGCTTGACTGCAATGTGCACATACTGTTGGTTTATTAAACAAAAGCATTTTAGAAAAATACCTAGGTTAGGTAAATCAAATGTTGATTCCTGTTGTCAATATTACAATTCACGGTGGGAGTCCAGTACAAATGTTAAGCTGGACTTAAAGGATTAAAAGAGAGTAACCACGCAACTGTCTGTATATGTCAATGGTTCAGTAATCCGCAACATTATAAACAATCCTAAAAAATGACACTACTCATTTACCAAAGAACGAATGGTCTATAAACAGCCTACTTTCAAATTTTCACAGTATAGTATATTATTAGGATTCCTATACTTGTTTGACTATTAACATCAAAAGATACAGCCTTCGAAATGAGTTGATTTTTCAAGAAACGGACAACAATCTTAAGCATAATTTACATACCATTATTGGCAGGAACGATATATTAAAGAATTCATAGGAAAATGTTATGAAATTCAATGATGACATACCAAGATTCTTCTTGAGTGCGTTTAGAACAACTTCTGACCCTACACCTCCTAACATACAAGGGGTTGTGGTACATATTTGAATGTGATACTTTCCGACCGGTTCCCTGGAAATGAGGAAAAAAAGTTCATCAACACATTTTTAAACTATATTACTTAGTGTGCAACGCGTCTATTTTGAGTTTAGACCAATCAGTTGCAAAAACCCTAGAATCTGGCACATATCTGCATTGATTTAGGTTTCTACGCCATATCAGTACAGCGAGATGAAATAATGACACATCAAAGTTGTAGAATTAGTAACAGTATAAGCAGAGTAAGTAGGTATCATATCATATTGCCAAAAATAAGCACGTTAAAATACCGAGCAATACAAATAAACTGAT